CGCTCCGATCCATCGATAGATCTGTTTATCTGTCCTGTTCTATCCCCTTTATTATCCACCTGCTCATCTCTGTGCATTGTGTACGAGTGTATGCCCCCTTATTTCAATCGAGGTCTCGGAGATAACAAACCGAGTATGAGACCGAGCGAGAGAGGAAGAGAGAGCGAGAGAGATGGAAGACGAGTACCAAGACCATGCCACGGCCTGCACGCCGACGTACCCATACGCCCACCTGAATGCAAGCGACGTCTGGGATTCCTAGGCCAACCCCCTTCCCCCAAAAACCCCGACAGCCTAGGAAAGTAAACGTGACAGCCTTCAAGCGACCCCAGAGCGTCTGCATCCAAGACGATTCACACACAACGGACATGAATAAATAATTTCTATACTCCACGAACACATGCCTCCAGCCACGAATCATGGCTTTACAGTGTCTTAGGGTAGAGGTCAATCAAAGGCTTGTCTTGTCAGCTGGGGCTCTCCACGCCGAACAGCTCAATGCCCGCATGGTAGATGCCCAAACCAACGGGCTGCAGCGTGCTGTTGGTACCCTGCAGTCAACCCATATGGAGCTTGGGGTTGTTCTGATCCGAAATCAGGTTCCATCGAGGTAGATAGATTGGCGATAGCATGCTATGACCATATCTCCCTTTCGGTGAAACAGAGTAATGAAAGCCCACATGGGCTATCGGACTTGGTCGTGCACTTTTCCGCAGGCTCCAGGGACCGACAGACGAACATATGAGTTAAAGCTAACTTGCATCACAGGCCTAGTTAGACTGAGTTTCAAGATGTCTCAAGCTACTTGACGTGCGGTTCTTCGGTGTTACCGGCTACTGAGCCCAACCTTGAGAAAAACCGTGTGGCAAACTCACTACATTTCTCTGGCACAGCTGTCACGTCTGAAAGAAGTTCATAACCACAACATACGAACATCTACGACGCTGGGAAACACGGATCGAAGGCTCTAGGCTCCAGTTGAATGCCGAACTCGTTCTCATTCCAGAGAACTGAGTTCCTCCGGGCTCTCTTCGTCTTTACCTTTATAAACATTGGAATTCGCTTTCGTGAAGAGGGCCCCAAAGCCTGCAAGGTGGACTGAGGCTTACAAGTATACCGTGCACCGCGCACCGCAATACTGGGAGGTGACAAAGCACCCATTACCTTCTTAGATTCTTGCCTTTCTGCAACCCTGCACACGGACTGACTGTGGCGGATCCGTCGTTGTCTTGAGGATGCCAAGCTTCGCAAGCGGAGAGCCGTTTGGCTGAGGTCACATATATGGTGCCAACATCCTCTACTCGAAAGCCGACGGCCTGGGTCCCATGCAGGTCGTAAACGTGAAGCCATGCGATGGGTCCTGCGAAAGGCTGGGGGGTTCATCACTTCAGACACATAAGACAAGGCTCTGGTCATGCCCACTAAGACTTCATAAGCGGGACGTCGAACTGAGCTTGGAGGGTTTGGAGAGTGTCCGCCGCACCACTATCTCCTTCGAGGGTCGAAAAACTGAGCGCTGTTTGGCATTATGGGCTGATATCACATAATATAATACAATATAATATAATATAATATAACATTTACGAGAGTTTGTGGCCGAAGGATTTCCCTGAGCCAAGACATTGTTCCCATCTGCATCGGTAGGAGACATGGGCGGAGGATTGCAGCTTCAGGGCTTGATTTACCAACATACCGGGATTCTTGTGAGAGTATGCCACCTGCACCGGGCAGCTAGCACCTTCCAACCTGAAGCCCCAACCCCCCCCTCTTCTAGGAATTCAGAGTCGAAGGCTGCTGATGAGTCTTCCAGAAACCCCTGAGAGAATTAGGAGCCGCGGATGAAGGAGCGGCCTGGCGTATAGACCCGCCAAAAAACAGCGAGAGAAGCGTGCCTTCTGCCTCGGACTCGCCGTCGGATGTCTCAGAATCCTCGTGTCCAAGGAAAACGGGGACAACGAGACTCATGCACAAAAAGAGCGATGCGTTCAGCTTATACAAAAGACTTTGATATTACCCATGTCGCAAACGCTCCCGACGATAACTTGAATGACTATGGAGCGAATACCTTTGCTTGGGACCGAGAAATGACATGGCCGGAAACGGCACAAGACTTTCGACGACCTACATACATCTCTGATGCATGTTCAGGCTCTCAAAACTCAGAAACACCTGTCGCACCAAGCACAGCGATGCTTCTCTTCTCTTTGCGCTTTGCTGGATAGGATTAAACGAAGCAGGAATATTATGGGTTTCATGTATCAAGTATCTGCCGCCGATGTTGGCCCAAAGCTCCAAACCCAGAAAGCAAACTCCAAAGTCTAGTAATATAAGGACCTTAATAAATAGAATAGGGTTTTGGGGGTTCCTTGTTAGACTTATAATAAAATATACCCCAAACCCTATTCTCACTATTGAGGCCCCTATATTAAGCCCAAAGGCCATGGCCCTTCTCACCCCCCGCATGCAGGCCCGGTCCTGCTCAGAGGGCTTTCGCACCGCCAGCCTCGGTCCGATGGGAGAGACCTTTTTGGGGTTACTATGGGACTTTCCGAAATTGGGGTACCTTATTTTGGGGTCCGTATAACAAGGATCCTACTATTTAGGGTACTATATTAGGGTCCCCTATTTTCGGAAACCTCCATATACATAGACGCCTGAATAATTAGACTAGAATTTTGGTGTATGTTACAAGATACTTATAATGAGGAGGCCTCAGGAATGACATTGGTACTGATTTAGGCTTCTATATTACGTCTGCGCCCTGGGCTTGTTGAGGCAGAAGCCTATTTCTAAGGATCTGCGACACCATGCCGTGAAGCAAGGGTCCTTCTTGGTTGCTATGCAAGTAGCCTCCTTGTCCCTTCTTGAGTTGAACACAAAGCGGAGCTCGGAGCAACGAATCCACAACCCTACGGGCCCTGTGGGGGTTGCGGGTGAAGCAGGCAGATCATGCAAACGCACTGCCACGACCTGATCGCGGTGGTACTGAAATTGGAAGTTGTAACTGTGGTAGTGGCAGTGATAGCAGTAGTTGTGGTGGTAGTAGCAGCTGTGAAATACCAATAGTAATAGCGGCAGCAGGGGCAGGACGGGAGGAGGAGGAGCAACAGCAGAAGAGTAGCAGTAGTAGCAGCAGTAATGGCAGTAGTGGCAGTAGCAGTAACAGTCGCAGTAGGAGTTCGTAGTAGTACTTTTTGTAGTAGTAGTAGTAGTAGTAGTAGTAGTGGAGGAGGAGGAGGAGGAGTAGGAGTAGGAGTAGGAGTAGGAGTAGGAGTAGGAGTAGGAGTAGGAGTAGGAGTAGGAGTAGCAGCACGAGTAGCAGTAGGAGTAGCAGTAGGAGTAGTAGTAGTAGTAGTAGTAGGAGGAGGAGGAGGAGTAGTCGGCATCGCAGTAGTGGTAGCAATTGCAGTAGCTTCAGCATGCAGCAGCAGTAGGAGTAGTAGCATTGGTAGTCGTCGTGGCGGTGGCGGTGTTTATGATCCGAATCCATTTCTGGGCGACCCGACTCCGCAACATAGCCGTTCCGGCGAGACGCACTTAAGCGCAGTGCCTGTCACAGCAGTTCTCGAGGTCTTGACATTCACACACGGACACCTCCTACCCATTGCCTAGAGATCCGTGAACAAGGTACAAAGCCTTTGGACTCTCGCGACTCGAAATGCAGGCGAGGCTTGTCCAGGTTCGAAGGCTGGCGCATGTGACCATGAGTTTGTCAGATGGGTTCACTCACAACACACATCTCACTGCAACGATTCAGCGAACAACCGCAGGACCGACATGTTTGCAGCAGATGCGGTGGGAGCCCACATACCTCTCCCCTTTCGAGCAGATGGTCATGGGGGTTTGCATACGGCACTCCAGGAACAATGCTACAATATCTTTCCACAACCCCACGTGAAACTTACCTCTTCCGGCTCACAAGCATCCCGTGCGGTGGGGTTTGTACAATATGAGCTTTAGGTATCGATCCACGAACTAGCACTTGACCTGAAGGTGTCTGTGACTTCTTTGACTAAAGCCTGGCATGGAAACACAGCTTCCTCAATGAAAACAGAGAAGAAATTCTATGTTCGTTCGCTTGCCCGTTTTCAAGCTGCTTCAACTGTGCCCCCCTGTGTCATAAATGTGTCCTCGCAGTATTCCGATTTCGGGAATGTTGGGGTAAGCCGGGTAAGCCTGTCAGGGAACCTGCTGCGCTCTGCCCTCAGACAAGTATCGCACCAAGACAAACATCCATGTCGTTTGAGGCTTCCACTATTGCAACTGCCACTGCAACTGCTCCTGCCTGCTGATGCTACCGCTACCGCAACGGCTCCTGTTGCTGCTCTGGTGCTGCTACTGCTGCCGCTACTGCGTCTACTGCTATCGCTACTTCTAGTGCCTATCATTACTATGAGGGCTGCTGCTGCTGCTACTACTACTGCTACTACTACTACTACTACTACTACTCCTACTACTACCACTCCTCCTCCTCCTCCTCCTGCTGCTGCTCCTGCTGCTGCTCCTGCTGCTGCTGCTGCTGCTGCTGCTGCTGCTACAATGGCCACCTGTGCCAGTACTACTAGGGCTGGTACTGCGACTACGACTCCGTCTCCGACGACGAGTCATTACCACCACCACCGCCAATACAGCAGCTATTTCTAAAGCGAAGAGTTGAAGCGCGCGTCGTGCAACTAGACGTCAAAATGCATTATCCCAGAACACTTCTTTGCAAGTTGCTTGCCGCTGTGCGAGACGACGAGGAGCTGGAGCCTGTCGGACGTTACCAGTAAGGTCTTGCTAGAGATGTGGGGTTCAAGCGACACACTTTTTGGGAATGGTCTTCATGATGTGACTCAGGTCGGCAGGCTTGCGTTACGCCGAAGGTGCTGCTACTCAAATTCGACAGCCTTCCTTGCAAGGACACCTGGGCACGGAGGAGGACAGCAGAGGGGGCAAAGACGCACCGCTTGAAGCCAGTGACTTTGTGCTGCCTGCGTCGCAATCCACAACACAGCCAGTCAGTCGGTTCTTGTCACCGCAACTGAGATCCGACAGGCTTTGGTGCAACCACGCCTCTCCAGCTGGTGTCGCCAAGATGACAGATAGAACATCGATCTTGCTGCCCGTTGCGAAAGGTAGTGTGACATCTTCGCTAGTGGCCAGCTCGTGTGATTGCCTCCCAGCTCGGTAAAGATTTCTCTGATCTGGTGCTTCGGGCACATCCATTTTCCAGTGGACAGATAGAAACCCACATGAAGGCATGGCAGCATCGCAAACTGCGCCCAGTACATGCGCACCATGCCACGCCAAGTCACAGCCGGGTCATGGGCACTTCGTCCCAACAGGTCATTGCGCACGAACCACATGTTGTGCTCATGATACACCGTTTCGCTTTCTGGATCCATCGCCTCAAATGCCACTAGCGAGTAGCCGCGCAAAGAAGCCTCCCGGAAGATTGCATCGGGAGATGCGCCAAAGGTCCCTTCAGAGAATTTCGCCTTACACTCCAGATCAAACTCGAGCGCAAACTGGAAAGGTGGCGGAAAGTCGTAGTTCACTTCGATCATGAACATCTTGGGAGAGTATCCAGTTTGCAAAATGCTCTGCAAAATCGGCAGATCTATACTGTCGATATCGATCTTGAGGCAATCAAAATCCAGTGGTGTCTGGAACCTGTCCAACACTTCCTTCATGGTGTAGGGCTGGGCTTTCTCCTTAACGATGAAAACAGCCTTGCTGCTGTTAACTTCTGCCAGGTTGGCCGTGAGAGTTTCGTACCACTGAGGGTCGGCTTCTATCGCGAGACCTCCGTAGCCATCTGCAAAGAGTGGATAAACTGGATCATGGAAGAGCCCCTCCCGAGCTCCTACATTCACTGCGAAGTAGTTCCGAGAGCCTTTCTTCGGAAGCAAGGCATCCAGCAGCATCTTGAAGGACATCCTTGGAGTCCGAAGAGGTAAGGGCTTCCAGGATCCATCTTCAGCAGATCTCATGATCGCTTGGATGTCCTCCCACCTCTGCACGACCACGGATCCTCGCGCCTCCACACCAAAAAAAGGCCATGCCAGCTGGAAGAAATAAACCAGCAAGGTCTGAAGGACGTGGGATTCTGCCATGGCTGCGTGATGTCGCAGGGACTTCAAACTAAAGGGAAGGGGCTTATAGGGCTTTACAGGAATGGTGCAGAGTTGACACAGCCCCCATCATTCAGGGGTGGCATTTAGTTGGTTCAGATGCCAATGTCACTTCTCGGGGCATGGCTGCAACGGTTCCGCAGCAAGACCATGTATCGGTATGACATGGCATCCGCAAAGGCTGAACCAAACCTGCCCTGTCCACGGCAGAAAATAACCCCGAACCCCAAGCACCTCCGTTGCCAGACTGTTGACTACAGAAACTACTATTCTGAAGGCCCGCATCCCAAACTTGATTTTAGATTCTACGACTTTTACGCCGGACCCCACCAAACTTGATTTTCGATTCTACGACTTTTACGAAGGACCCCACAACAAGAGAAGCCTAAGCCTGAAGAGCACAGCCAGTGGGGCCCCAGGCCCTGGGCCTCGCAGCCCAAGCCCTCAAGGATGAACCCTCTTGAAGCCGGACTCTCTGACGATGAAACCCTAAACCCGAAACCCTAACAACCCTGAACCCTAAACCCTAAAACTCTGAACCCTAAGACCCTGAACCCTGAACCCAAAACCCTAAAACCCTGAACCCTAAGCCCGAAAGCCTGAACCCTAAGCTCGAAACCCTTTTTGCAACAGGCTTTCCACTTCGCCCGGAGTTGGAGCAAGCCCTGAACCCTAAACTCCTAAACTCCTAAGCCCAAGAAACCCTGGACCCCCCTAAAGCCGTGAGCTCTCCACGGGCTGCAGAGAATCAGGCGCCTGAGGTGGGATCCTTGCCCCGGGGCTGCTTGCCTGAAAGAAGTGTAATTAGGGTTTAGGGTTTAGGGCTTAGGGTTTGGGGAGTAGGGTTTAGGGTTTTGGGGTTCCGGGCTTCAGGTTTCTTTTGCCTCCCACCTAGCTAGGACGAGCCCGCTGCAGGGTTTGGGGTCTAGGGTTTCAGGGTTTAGGGCTTCAGGATATAAGGTCTCAGGGTACTCAGGTATGTAGGCTTGAGAATAACTATTCAAGTTTTGGGGTCAGGGTTCAGAAAAGTTGAACACATGTGTCCCCTTGTCAGCATGCTGAACTGAAGCCGGCAGCCCCGAAGCATGAGCCCTCAACTCACGGAGAAGACCCTTCAATGCCATGAGACTTCCAATTCAAACCCCTAGCATTCGGATCACAATGCCTCTAGAAGAGAAGAAGGCTTGTCCGACGGCTAAGACCAGGGAGGCGTCTGCAGCCAGTGGGGACTTGACCTATTTACTGCCAAGAAACACCAACAGACGGGCGTGGCATCTCGCCGGGCACTGCGTCATCAGCTTCAATCATGTAGAGTTGTACCGCACAATACTGTACCGTTGACGATGCTCCTAGTCAGCTTCTGACGATTCTTGCGCTTCCTAGCTGGTCCCTTCCAACACACCTAGCTTTTTGGAGGGATTGGTACACTGTCAGAGCCACATCTTTGCCAAATCCTTTTGGAACAGGCAATGGCTGCGAGCAGAACAGCAGGAAACAGGCAACCACCTTAGAAGAAGACTAGCAATGTTCAGCTAGCCTTTTTCGTTTTAGGGATTCAAACCTCGCATCCTGTCCGCAAACACCTAGAAGTGCCTTGATATATGATATCATCAACGGTCTACTTGACGGAATGCCGGGCTGCTTGGGTGCTGGCCGCAACCGCGTGTGAATTGCCGTCTTAAGGCTCAAGGCGCAGTGTGTGTGTGTGTGCCGACCTCCAGCTCCTAAGACAAGTTCCGAGTGCAACGTCCGTCGCAGAAGATTGATAGGGTTCAGGGTTTAGGGCTTAGGGTCTAGAGGTTAGGAAAACTGGGTGTACCATGGTGTAGCATGTTCTGTGACAATCGTCATCTGACCTCTATACGAGAGCCCAGTGGCAAAGCTACATGTTGTGTCATGTTGTGGGGCGTCCTGCCTGCTGGAACCATTCTTCTCTAGCTCTACAAAAGCCTCAGCTAAAGAACCAAAAGCCCCAAACCGCCAGATCGAACCAATCGCCCCGGCCCCAAGCCAACAACAAACAACCGAGCCTAAACCCCAACCCCCAAACCTTTGCACCACACTTAGCCCTCAACCAAGCCCCACTCCCATCCAACCTCCTGGACCATAGCGCAAAGCGTCTGAGCCTCTCCCTTTATGACATAGTCTTGAATTCAAGTGCATGAGGACGAAGTCTTGCGCGGACAGTGAAAGCACCTTGTAATTGATCATGGTCTACGCTTCCAGGGTTGATCCCTAAACCCCAAAGCGGTTGCAAGCACTTCCAGCTCGCGGGAGACGGAGGACTCCTCATGGCAAAGCCTCTGGATAAGCCGGCTCGGTAGACGCGCAGGTTGAGGTCGGACCGAGGTGAAAGCTTTCGCGGTTTTGTGGGGGCTGTAGAAGTGAAGCATAGAATATCGGAACCGGGCAAGAAATGTTCATCATAATCGATATTCGCAATAGTCACCTTTGAATAATATGATTCGCAAGTTCGATTGACACAACATCCAGCTACCCCTCATCTGTTCCCAGAACCGTGGGCACCAAACCGAATTGATGCCCAGCCGGGCTTGGCGTGCAGCATTCACAGGTGTGACTCAAAATACAGAGTTTCAGAGCACAGAAATTTTTAAAGCCTGGAATCCCAAACCCTCAACCGTCTCACATCCGGGGTGCTTGGTTGTTTAAAACCGAGGATCATCTATCTACTCTTCTTGGGCCCTATTCTTGCCGATACTGATTTATGCAAGCATCATTTTATAGCTACCATGAATCCGTGAACCTCGCTCGCAAGATGCGCAATCTCTTCCTTCGCCCACACCGAGGTATGACAAGCCCGACGCCAGCACTCGAGCTCCTGTTTTGGTACTCCCCCCCCTGAAAGATATCTCATCCGCTCCCTCACTGCGCCGATGTTTCCAAAACTTTAGGATCTCCACGGCGAAGGCTCATCCTTCATGAAACCCGAGAAATGCATCATAACATGCGAGCACTTGGATAGATACCAGGAGTCGACCTTGCATGATGGTATGCCAGAACGAGTTCCTCGGCCGTGGGCATGCTGCGGTTTGGTAGCATGCAGGTCACATCCTTGAGAGGTTCATTGAACTTCCTCTCGAACTGCGCCTTGCCGTTTAAAGGATTCGTTGTAGGTTTCAGGGTGCGGAGCATTATGGTGTAGCGAGCAATCGCGTTAATGAAGGCATGGGAAAAACCTTGACAATGCCCTAGAAGCCCAGTTTCCCTTTCTAGTGGGTTCTGCCGCTGCCAGTCTAAAACTATCACTTGCAGGTAGCTGCTACAAGTATGGTAGGCTACTAACGCGAGAGAACCATGGCTGTCGTGACCCATTGTGGTAACTGTGGGCTTCTAGGGAGGGCCATTGCGGGCGCTGGAAGAATGGTACTGGACATTATCCAGTGCCAGCACTGCGGCTCGAAAGTTGCCGGGCAGCACCCAGGGTTTTGCATGTAGGGGTTTAGGGGTTTAGGGTTTCGCCGCTTCTCGATTTGTGCGGTCTGGTTTACGGTTTCGGGTTTCGGCTCTGCAAGTACCGTGATGTAGGCTATGCCCACAGGGACAAGACTCCTCCCCACCAGGTATTTAGTTCAGAAGCATAACTATATGTATGCTAGCAGTGGTTATGTCTCGCAGTAACTCCATGTCCCTTTCTAAGCGAACTGACTGTCTAGTCTAAGGCTGGAGCGTACCACTTAAAACTTCGTCTGAGAACAGCAAGGGTGCTGCTCGCATCAAAGCAAAACCTGAAGACTCATCTGAACGTCAACAGCTCGGTACTGTTCTGAAAACCCTCTGGATAATGCCCTGGAAACTGCTGATTCCGGTTCCACGGACGAGAAGGTATGGTTGCCGCCCCCGCGGGTGCGAAGCACGACTCTGCCATATCTGCCATCGCACAAGGAGGGCAACAAACACCGCCCAAGAGACCTAAACATCTCCAACTGGCCGGCGGCTTGGACGAAGGTCCATGCATGGTCAATCGAAGCAAATTTCAGGAAGATCATGGGAAAGAGGCCTTTGCATCACCATGGCTTCCTGAGACTAGCTGCTCCAAGCCGTGAATCAAACGCTCTGACGAATCACGGGCCTCTTTCCAGCACTTCGAGCGAGCCTTGTATTAATTCGAAGATACTAAGCCTGCATGTGCGTGGATACGCCGGGCTCCCTTCCCGACAGACTGTTTTCCCACACTAGCCGACCGTCGACACTAGCCCGAGAGTACACGTACGGGCAGGGGGCTCCAGTTGCACCCTCCCTGCTGAGACTGGCTTAGTCTGTCCACCATTTCACCCGTTCCACCGACATAGTGTCGCATAGACAACATTTGGAAAGACGAGAGGGTGAACACAAATACCTCTCTTGCTGGCACCGCCCAAACCACTCTAGGTATCGAAAAGATGACGTAATCACAGCGTAGATCCTTATCCTTAGTAAGGTATCCCAACGAAGCCTGAAACAGTCTTGGCCTATCACCGGCATTCAACAACGCACCACGTGTTAATTGCAGGCTTCTAAGGCCTCTTCACGGAGACTTCTGCCCACGGCTCTCTCCTTTGGCGCTCGCTTCTAGATCGTCAATCTTCTCCTCGGCCATCTTCACCTCGATGTAATGTGTGCAGAAACATGTTCAGATACACAAAATCTCATACATATATATATATAGAGAGAGAGAGAGAGAGACTCTTGTTGTTAGGAGCCCTACTGATTGGAACGGGGTTTTGGGTCAAATTTTGGCATAAGTACATTAAGGACCCCTTGGGAACAATGATGTTAGTAACTACGCAGGCTCCTATATTACACCATTCTGTGGGTAGTTCTCTAAATTAGCGTCCCTTTTTAGGTCCCCAACATAGTACGGCACCCTTCTAAAAGGGACCCCACAGGGGACCCCACTTTAGAGAATTACCCCTATATACTACATCCGAAGGTTGGTCTGGTTCAGGGTAGGTCAGGGCTTGGGAATGAAGGTTCGATAAGAG